GCTGCGGGCAGCCGCCTGCTGCGAACCGTGGCCACTCAAGCAGGCAAAATCTTTTCAGAACTAGTTTCAAGATAAAGTGTTCAGTTCAGAGCCCTCCCTGGTGGCACAGTGGGCTGAAGCTCAGCACTACAGAGCTGGCCGCAGCCGCTTCAGCACCAGTTTGATCCCCAGCCAGGTGGGTGACCCACGTGGCCCAGGTGGCTCCTGTCTGCCCCGCTGCTCCCCTCAGCAGTGTACTTCGTCCATCTGCCTGCTCTGCTCCCCGCTCTGTCTCTGGTGAATCCTCTCACCGCCCCTGAGCCTCTGGCCTGTACCCCAGTTCTGTATGGATAAATACATAAACTTTTTAAATATTCAGTTCACATGAATAAAAATAATATAAAAATACTATTTTATAAGCAAAAAATATATTATCTGCTTGAACTGCTATAACAAAATATCATAGGCTGGGTGGCTTAAGCAACAGATACTCCTCACAGCTCTGGAGGCTGCAAATCCAAGATCAATTTGGTTTCTGGCAAGAGGCCTCTTCTTGACTGGTGACAGCGCCTTCTTGCTGCATCCTCGCACGGCAGAGAGAGCCTCTGGTGTCTATAAGGCACTCACCCATTCCGGAGGGCCCTACCCTCACGGCCTCCTCTAGCTGCGTTGAATGATTTCCTCCCAAACACCTCACCTCCAGGCTACCATCACACTGGCAAGTAAGGCTTCAATATATGAATTTGGGGGTGGAGGACACCATTCACTCTATGACACCATCTACAGTGCATTCCTAGTTATTCCACTCTCTTCTGTCATTTATCTAGTTCCTCTTATTCAGGCTGGAGGGAAATATACACATAGTTCATCCATTAATGGCTGAGAATAACATACAGTAAAAAGGCTGCTAGACAATTATTCAGACAAACATCTGTATGCAGATATAAAAATATAGGACTACTTATCTCTCTATACTTCCCCTATTTAATTGCCTAGATTGTGTTGTTCGGAAACAGGAAAATCAGGGGTGTCATTAGGCTCCGTTTCCTGTGCTAACTGCCATGGAGCAGGTGGACATTGAGGCTCAGGACGCGGTTGGCGAGCTGCTGAGCCCTCGGGCCCCTCCAGGTGACAGCACCTTCATCCGTGTGGGCCGCTAGGACTACCTTCTTGGAGGTGATTTGGGAAGCTACAGGGCAATCTGAGTAGGCTACCTAAGTGTGGTCCAAAGTATGGTGTGTGATGCGTGTTTGTACGTGTATACACATCACGTATGTGTGTGTTCGTGCACATGCAAGTACATATGTGTACGGACGTGCAGGTGTGTGTATTCATGTGTATGTATGTGCATAACAAACAGGTCTCTTGCACAGAGGAAGATCACAGTCCCCTCTGCAAGAGGGGTGGTGTGCAAATCTGAATTGTCCACTGTCCCTTTTCCCCATTCATTCCAAAGACCAGTTTAGCTGCATTTCAAGGACTGATCTCATTTTATAGTATCAGGGACGGAGCAAATTTTGTCTGATGGATCCAGTTCTAACACTGGAAAAGGATTCCTGGAGTCTGAACGTGACAGGTCAGGGGTGTGATGAACATTCTTGGAGTATCTCCTAAGACCTGCCACCAACCTCATCTAGCCTACTATTAACTATCAGTCAGAGATTTTTCGGTGCTGGGCCTTTCCTCAGCACTCCGCACAGTATCCCATCACTGTTTACACCCACCTGTGAGGATGATATCCCAGCTGCCATTTTACAGGGGCACTGAGAGGCGGGAATCCAGGACGTGGCTGAGCCATTTGGAAACACGGGGATTTATACCTTAGCTCACATTTTGGTGACTGGCTTCAAACTATTCTATTTTCCCTGTTTCCCCCTTCAGCCCACGCCAGCCTGCTGCCTCTCCATAGTGGAAACTCTATGTGATCACATGACAGAGTCTGGACTCCAAGACAGGAACGGACAAGTTTCCTCCTGGTTTCAGCACCAGTCACGTTCACGTTAACACTACCATCCCTGGGCAGTTACAACAGAGCAAATGCTGAATAGACTATGACTTTCCACTGTCTTACGTGAGATTCTGCCATGATTCTGCCTCATTTTACAGAGATGGCTGTCCTTGCTTCCAGGCCTTTTCATGCATCATACCCAGGTATCTACATACCTATGAGGACTAGCTGGTTGGTCCAGGTCTGGGGGAGCTGTGTCATTTGATCACTCCGAAGAATGGCTCCCTGGGGTGATAAGGCTGTGGAACCTACCGGACAGCACTGACTGGTCTCAACTTGTCCAAGTGAAGGGCTTTTCCTTCAAGTCCCATTTGCCTTACCCTAGCAGTCAAAGCTCACTCTGTTCTGGAGTCCTAAGGGTGTCCTGGGATATTATAAAGGAAAGGTTGTACACAGTCGGGGGGTGGGAAGAGGCTGAGCAAAGGAGGCACTCTTGGGTGGTGGGGGCAGGGGCACTGGCAAGCATCAGTGTACCAGCTCTGAGAAGACAGTGGGTCCCTGGTGCTAGACAAATTCAAGCAGAGGCTACCTAGATAAGACCACTATGTTTATGGAAGCCTGTGGGCTGTAAACTGTGCACTCCCTCCGTCAAGCTCTACCGTTGCTTCATTGACCAGATCTCACCTTCATTTCCCCCAGAGGGTTCAGAGAGGGACCATAACATGCACATAGGAACACACTAGAATGTGCTTAAGGGTGAGCTCATGGCCCCATATGCTAAGAGGAGGATCCCCTCTGTGATCAAGTGGTCATGGCCACCAGTCCCAAAGCTAGAATAAGACCCTTTCAGGCACCAAACTGAAAAAATCTTGGTGCCTTCTTCCCCCACATGTAATTTAAAATCAAGCCAGTGTTCCCACTCCACAGAGAGATGGCTTTGCTTCTCCTCCTAAATGTCAAATTATCTTTAACATCTTTCCCTTCATCCCTTCACCTGTCCCTCCACCCCCCTCATTTTGAGCCCCTGCTTTGCTGAAGCCCTAGTTCTGCTTTACCTTTGATCAGACAAGCCGACATGTACAAGTCCATGAGGTTTATCCGTGTTGATGACACGATTTCCTCACTAGCTTGTCCTCCAACTCAAAGAGTCTGGATCCTATAATTTCAAACAAACAAACAAAAAAACCCGGCAAGGTACATCAGTTCATCACACAGCAAATTCTATTATGCTGAGAATTTGTGAATGCTTGTTAGATTTCTCTCCCCCCCTTAGGGGGATGGACAAAGAAATAGCTAGTTAGGAGAAAAGACAAAATGTGAATACAAATATCCATTACCACCTTGGAAGGAAAATTACCAGAAAGATAAAGTGCTTTATTTCATAGGCAGATTTGTCAAGGACAAAACCAAATACCATTTTGACTAATCTGAGCAGCCATGAAAGGCCAGCCCTGCAAAGCTGGAGCTGTTTTGCCTATTTAGATTTTCTCCATGGAGCATTCTACTTCAGAGGCTGAATAAAACCAAACCCATTCATTAATAATCCAGTATGTTCTGAATGGCACTAGACTGATTTGAACGATGCAAAATGAAGTGTTCGGTCTACTATGGCTTCATTTGTAAAATATACGGTTTCTGAAGTTTTCCTTGGGTTGCATAGTGTAGTCCCCAGATTTGTTACTCTTTTCCTTACCCTTTGGGCTCCTGTTTAATTTGTTGGTGACAGCCCTGGAATTTGGGTTTGTAACGCTTGTTGATTCTTGGCAGTTGGCAATTTCTTTCCATCCCTGTGGGGATATTGTGGTCCCCTTACTAATTGGTTAAAAATCATTGGAAAGGAAAGCTGTGTAGCATAATCAGAAGATGCATTGCAGAGTCTTTCAAAGTCGAAATGCTTCCAGGAAAGAAAGGAAAACTTTGGTTTTCATTTGGCTGACTTTCAGGCCCTTTGTGAGTCAAGATGGGTCTTTTGTGACTGTGCACTCTGGCGGGCAGGCCCTATGAACCCCCAGCCCTCAGCACAGTGTCTGGTGCGTAGTAGGTACTCAAGAAATGTTTGCTCAGCCTGTGAAGTGGAATGTTCAATCAGTGCTTCCTGTGAGGCTGCTGTTAAATGAAAGTTTAATGAGTAGGATAAAACCACACCCAGACAGGCTCTTGGCAAAAAGACTGATGCACAGCACAAGTCCAGGCCTCATGTCTGCTGGGAGGGGCATCTGGTTTCTGGTCTTAGCCTTTGGTTCTCATTTACCTGGGCCCATAACCTAGGGGCATAGAATTCTTCCTTGGAACCTTCCCAGTTTCCAAGGCAAAACTTTAAAGAGAAGCTTTCTTGCCTAGACTTTAAGTCTCTTTGTTTCCACGGTACTTCTTACTAAATATTCTAGTCCTTTGAATACAGCCCATCATAGCTTCTGAGCCTTGCACATTCAGTTTCAACAACTGATGTTAACAGTTTCTGTGTTTTGGTATTTTCTAGATAAGAGAATCTGGTTGGCCTACCCCATATGCTGAACCATGTGTTTTGGTGATGGGTCAGCTTATGAGCATGTAGCTCCTGGGCTGGATGTCTCTCCTGTCCAATCAGCTTAGGCCAGAGGCCAGAGCATGCAGTCTAACACCTGGTCTTGAGATGCGGCTGAACAGCTAGGTGGGTATCATGATTGCCAGGACTAGCATGGAGGTACGTTAGTAGGTGGTCTCAAGAGTTCGAGCCCCATACAAACATCATCCCTGGACTCCTTGGGATTCACTGACCCGGATGGAACTTCTTCATGTTCTGAGAAGAGCATGTTGGCATATGTTGGCTTATCTGCCCTCAAACACCATCTGCACCAAGAATACATTCATAGTTAGTCTGGAACTGCCTTTCTGGGTCCTGGGCATGACCAGAGGGGACCTCTGTTTGCCTGATGAACTCACACCCGGGGTTCCTAAGGCCACACTGGATGGGCCAAGTGTGCAACTATTTTTTAACCCTCTGCCAGGAGGCACTGCTGTGCAGCTGGGGGTGAAGAGAGTTCTAGGTCACTATCTGGATGAAGCAGAATGAGAAGCAGGCAGGTTTTGGGGTATGAAAGTCTTTGTCATTTTATTTTACAATAAAAAATTCTAACAGCATATGAGCCCCCTGTTCCAGGCAGAGGCCATGGGTGTACAAATTTAATTAAGAAAGCAAAGCATTAATTGACAACAGCTACAGTCAAAGCTCCTGTTCAGCACTTGTGTTTGTACAACATATTCAAGGCGGTTGGTGGGAATCGCTGGTTTGGGTTTTCCACCCAAAATAAAACTCACGTGCAAGTCTTGACAGCCTCCACATCAGGGAGAACAGCAGCCACATCCAGTTCCAGTTGATGCTGGCTTTTTGCAGGCAATTCCAAACTTAGGACCATCTTTATTTATTTTTTTTATTTTATAGAATATAATTTTAAAAAAGTTTATAGAACATTTCACACATTATTTTGATGTACAGAAGGAGCTCAAATATTCTTCCGGATAAAACTGAATTATGAAGCTGACAGTTCAGTAAGAATAGCTTCCAGTATAGTTTCCAAAGCATTTTTCAGACACATTGTACCACACTTCTCACAGCTACCATGGGAGGTAGGAAGGGCAGACCTTGTCATGGCCGTCTCACAGATGAGGCATCAGAGACTGGTTCAAAGTAAGTTGACTGAGGCCTTGAATACTTGGCTGTTTTCGACATTTCTAAACCGATGATACTCTTGATCCTGTTTGGTAAAACCCCTCGTACTCAGTTTATGTGTGGCTTGGGGAGGGGAGCTTAGACATTAGAAAGAGATGGGGGATTGAGGTGAAGCCACAGAGAATTTATGTAACATACAGACAGCCTCCCTCTGATTCACAGGCCCGACCAAGGTTAGAGAATGAAAATCATCAGTTTCTAGATTTCATTATGTCATGGCTTTCACCAAAATGTGGGTTTGACCTCTGGAGACAAGTTCTGCCACTCCATGACTCTCCCATTTTTGAAACCAGCATAATCACAGCAAATTAATACCACCTCAAAGAATTCAATTCTGGCACTATTAATTCTATTTCCTAAATATTCCTCTCCAGAACCGCCGACATTTTAGCACTTATCGCAGGCGAGGATTCGATAACAGTTCACTTTAAGAAATCAAGAGCCTTTCAGTTCTCAGCACACTAACTTAATTACATTTGCAAGGGCAGAGCCACAAGAACATCAATTTCCCTTGAAACAATTTTGTCTCAAGAGTCTCTGTTGAGAGGCTCATTGGTTTTCTCCATGCAAGTGTGTGGCCATGAGCCACATTAGTAGCACCTGAACTAAGATCATGCATTTCAATTTACAAGTGTTTATTGTCTGCTCAGCAAGACCTTTGCTAACTGGGCCCTGGTCAGAAATCACTCCTTAGACCCAGCAACCATATCGGTATTGGCACTGGGGCGGGAGGTGGTTGGCAGTCTAGCCAATCCACGAGGGCTTGAAGCACATCTGTTCCCCCTGATTTGCAAGTCAAGGATCCTTTCCTCTCTGGGGCATTATCCATAGGGGCTACTCACCTACTGGCTGCATCCTGGGAGTCCTGCTCCATTCCTGTCTGCGGTGGGTTCTGTTTGAAGGTCCTGACCACTCGTGCTCTCTCCTCTAGGTTCCAGTCCACTGAAAGGGTCAGTCCAGGGGGCCATGCTTGTGTTACATACCCCTGCCTCCTTGGTTACAGCGGATTGGCTAGGTGACTGCCCCAAGGGCGGCTCATCAGTGGCAGATGAACTGGGCGGGTGAGAGCCTGACTTGTCCTAAGGGGCATGGAGTGGTCATCAGAGAGGGGTGTGTGCTGAAATGGAAAGGTTGTGGCTAGTGAGGCCAGGGGTGGATTTTCAGCTAAATTAAACTAGTGAGAGCACATAGAAAGGTAGCAGACAAAGGGAAGCAAGAGGCCTGAGCAGAAGTGGAGAAAGACAGAGATGAGAGCCCACCCCTCTCCTGCGTGAGAGCTGTGTTTTATTTCTATGCAGTGGTCCTGTGTTCTTTTAGTCAGCTCTTGCATTCAAGCACATGAATGGGTTTCTAGTCCTTGCAAAGTTCCTTGATTGGTGTATGGCAGAAGAATGGATTAAATTATGAAATTCAGTCTCAAAAGTTTAAAATAATACATCATTTTTATTAATAAACATTAAATACCTGTGCAGTATGCAGAAGAAACTCACTTATCTAGAATCAACATTTAAGTATTTCGAGTCACTTCTTGAATTTTTGCCTGTCAGAGAAACATTTCTTCTAGTGAGTATTTAAATCCTTCTCTTCCTTATTCTGTGTTTTTTCTCAGAAGTGTTCTTAAATTGCAGACTTAACACTTTCTTATCCATCCTTAGATTGAGTGCTCAGAAATTACACGCTGTTTTGCCAAATTCTTGAAACAGCGTCTGAACAATATAACTCCTCCCATTATCCACTCCTCATCAGTTTAGACTGCCATTAACAATGTGCCATAGCTGGGGGACTTACAGAAAGCTCTGGAGTCTGGAAGGCCAAGATCAGGATACCAGCAGGGTTAGGTTCTGCTGAGAGCACTCTTCTGGGCTCCATTATTGACCTTTTATTGTATTCTCACATGGCAGAAAAGCAAGAGAGCTATATGGGGTCTCTTCTGGAAGGGCACTGATCCCATTGATGAGGGCACCACCCTCAAGAATTAGATCTTAAGGCCCCACCTCCTATTATCACATTGAGGGTCAGAATTTCAACTTAGGAATTTGAGGACAAAAACATTCCATCACTAGCATATCCTGAAAAAAGGCAACTTCCTGCTCCAAAGGTAGCAACTGGCATCTCAGCATAGAATAATGATGCTCTTGCACCACAGATCACCTTCCCCAGCACACGGAAGCTGCTACCTTGCAATGACAAACTGTCATGGCCTCTTCATTTGCCTGTTTGGATCCATGACACCAAGAGAAGAATATACCCACAGTCTTGAACAGCAGTTGCGAACACCATTTCCTTGCAGGCACTCTCTGGAAAAAGCCAAATGCATTTCTCTTCACGAATGCAGAAAACTCACATCAAAACTAGTTCCAAGAAATGTTTATTATGCCACCAATGCATTGTACTCTATACACTTTATCTGAAACTCTTCACAATTCAATCATCTTGTTTCTTTAAAAGAATGCACGGAATCCTTCCAATCACGTGCTTATTTTTAAAAATGTCCTAGCAAAGTTCAAGAAGTGTGTCACAGACAGTGGGCTGGCAGCATGGTGAAATGGAAAGCAAGTTGGATCATGAATCAACAGGCTTGGGCAGGAGCCCTCAGGAAGGTCACTCCACTTCCCTGGACTTTCACCTCCTCTGGGGTTACCAAAGTCCTCTGTGGCTTCTTCAACTGTCTGGAGGGTCCTGAGGAACACAATCCTTTGGGCTCTCATGGAACTCTATTTTCACTTCCAGGAGGCACTTCTGACCATCTTCCCTTTCTCAGATTTAGGTGTCCTGTATCTGTCGCCTCCTTGAGGTTAGGAGACTCTTCAGAGGAGGAATTATATCTCAGTCACAGAATATCAAACAATGGTGGCTATCTTCCCATTGGTGGAAGGATATGAACAAATTGATTTCTTTTCAATTTAAAGAAACCTCTTCCTCCTATATACTACTCTTAAACCTGGGGTGCCTGGTTTTAGAGTGCCAGGTTTAGAATACTATGCTTTTAGCCATCTCAGTTGACCAACTCAATAGTTCTCAATCATTGGTTTCTCCATTCTTTCAGCCAGCTGAAGCAAAAATCACTGGAATGTCCAAAGCTCAGACACTATCTTTGAAGCATGTGCATATATTTTAATCACACTAAGGTCTTGAAACTTCATTTTCATATACAGTATTTCCAGGCATTTACCAAGTAGACAAAAGTATTGGGTGAGATCATTGCACTGATGAGATATTATTGGTAAGGCGGGACAATGTAGCTGACTTTTTCAGACTCATACCATTTGCATGAAAAGGCTGAGTTTCTTTGGCTCTTTGTTCATTCAAGTGCATTGAATACCTATTTGGATAGACTTAGGCATTATGTTAATTTGTCAATAAAATCTTGCACTGTCCACAGTGTTTTTGCAAGCTGATTTAAGTTTTGGACTACAACTGGCCATTGGTAGAAATATACCATATATACACATGGAAATTACAAAAATACATTTTATTTATAGCTGATTTTTTTTAAGTAACAAAAAACTAACACTATGAAAGATCAACCAGCATACCAAAAAGACACTACCTAATATCACCTGAACAAGGGACTTGCTTGGGGTTTCCATGACACATCATTTCTGGAACATTCCAGAAAGGGCAATTTGCCATTGAGAAATAAAAACAGCTTCTTTGAAAAGTCTGTGCTTTGACAGTTTGAATCTCCCATCCTAATAAGTCCCACTCCTACTCTTCTTTCAACTTTAAATTTCCACCTTCTTCTCTTAGTAAAGACCAAAGAAACTCATGAGGAGAATGGAAGGATGGGCTCAGAAGGGAATGGACAACAGCTGAAGCTAGATGGGTCATGGGTGAAGGCAGGACAGGACCTTGTTCTCCAACAAACACCAATAAGCCCCCAACATCGTGCATGGCTCCCAAAGTTGGTGAGGAAACCAGAGTGTCCATTCTCTCCGGGGTAACTGCAAAGTCAGTAACTGCATTGGCAGGCAGAGACTGGTGCCTCAGGGCTGTGAGGCAGTGCTCACGCAGAGTTCTGCAGTGCCCACGCAGAGTTCTGTAGGCCAAATGGCCATGCCTGGGAGGGTGATTTGCAACATCTTTGTCACAAGGTCGGCAGCCCCCCCCCACCCCAGTTCGGCTGAAGTCCTCCTGTATCCACTAAGTATGGGGTGCAGAGGGGACTGGCTAACTCCATACTCTTTTTTTAAAAAGCTATTTACATTTAGACATAAATCAACAGGTTTTCTACATTCAGAAGCTTCCACAGAGGCTGTAGCTGGGGAGGCTGTGGCCACTATTCTGATTTCAACTGGCATCAATGACTATTTCTTTCTGTGCCACTCAGCAGCACATGCTGAACATCACCAATGAAGGAGCGGAGACTTTCTTGTACAAGCTGATACATCTATTCATTCCCTCAACAGAAAGACGCTTCAATCTCGGGTCCCCTTCATTGCAGGGCAAAGAAAAACCTCCATGAGTAACTTTTTCTTTTATAGGATCCTAAAAGCTCTTAGCACCAATTCTCTTTCTGTTAGATCCCACCTTGCAGAGTTCTCTGAATCTAAAAAGACAACACCTCTCAAAAGCCTGTCAACACACATCCACCATTCCCTCTCATTTCTCTTTCTTGGTCTTTGTTTAATTAATTGGGGGGTGGGGAGGAAGAGTCAGGACTATTTATAGGTGCAGTCTTTGAGAGTACTGATTTTCATCCGATTCATTTGATTTTGAAAATGAATGTTTAAAAGAAAGGGACTCAAGTTTCTCGGCTGGAGTCAGTGTCTCCTGTACAGACTGGAGGTGATTTTAAGGATTACAGTCACAGCTGATGAGAGAGAGCACAGTCTGTTGCTTAATCACACCCCTGCATTGCCTTTAAAACAGAAACGGAGTTAAACATGCAGAGGTCACCGAAGATAGAGTGGTATTCTCCCCTCTGGTGATGTAGTAAAATGTGGCTTTGCACAGGAATCTGTAGATAGCTAATGTCTCTTGTGACTATGGCTCCATAGGGAAATACACCCATAGTTCAAACATTTAACATAACAGAATGTCAAACATATGGTCCCAGGCGGGGACTTCTTGACATACAATCAGTTGAATAATGAGAATCCAGTCATTCAGGAGTTTTGCTCTGATTCCCAGAAGCCCCACTGTTCACTTTTTCAGTAAGGGAGGGTGAGAAAGATTCACACACTAACTGTGACTCAAGTCCCAACAAGTTAGGCTTGAGAAACCTGAAGACATTTCCTTGTGTTTGAAGTTCCCAGGGGCTAAGGCATTAGACCTGGAACTCAAACATGTCTGTCTGTTTCTTGGCCAACTTGGCCACCTCTTCCCGGATGGCCTTCACGAGGGCCGCCGTGGAGATGTTGGTCAGGGGTGCGTCAGATGGGTCGTTCTCTGCCAGGCTCTGCTGAGAGGCTGCTGTGGATGGCACCGGCGCCTGCTCCAAGCTGGGGTGCATGCCACTTGGCTGGCTGTACTGGCGAGGAAGCCTGGAGGGTGAGCTCTGCTGATATCGTGACCGTGGGTAAGCCTCGATGTACCCCGGAAGGGGGACCTGCAGAGGACGGTGGGAGAGAAGGCCAGGGCCTGGGATTAGACAGGGGCTCAAGTGAGTCCCAGGAGACCCTCAGTACTGGAAATGAGGGAGCTGAGACAAGGAAGGAGAGGCAGAAGAAAATACTGTTGTGTAGATACAAAGCCTGGAGTCAGTTTGTTCAGAATGTGGGCATTTAGACTCACTGGTTATGCTGGCTGGCTGAACAGGTGCAGTAAACCCTGGTGCAAAGAGCTGTGACGTACCTTAGTCCACACCTGGTTACCTTTTTACTATAAGCACAATCCAGCAAGTGGGAGGAAGTATAGTTGACCCCTGAACAATGGAGAAGTGGTTAGGGAATTTTAAAAAATTAAATTTATTTATTTATACACATTTTACATCACTGTTCATTTTTAAACAATGCTTAACTCCCCCTCATGTGTAGTCCCATGGAATTTCCTCCCCCACTTTCCCCTGTGCACCATCACTACAGTCCCCAGCTCGCCCCTCTCCCTGCAGGATGGCTCTGGTTTATGCTGTCTGCTTGTTTTTGTTTTGTGTTGTTATTATTTTTAGGGAATTTTTTTAAAGTTGGGGTTCTGAGGAGCACAGCTTGAAAACCATTAAAGGATGCCCGGCTGGTGCTCAAAGTTGGTGAAACAAGCTGTAACATCTCCCTCCACGCATTTCAAACTCAGGCAAACCAAAGAGCCCTTGCTGGAGCTGAAAGCCAGTGTCCACTCTTGCGACCCTGGCTCTGTGGCATTAATTGTCTTGGTGCTGGTGGCAGGCCAGGGACACTGACTCCAACTGGAGTGGTCTCAGGCTGAAATTCAAAAGTAGGGAAGATGAGGACTTAAGAGACTCTTCCTTATAGTATATGCAGCAGGGAGCCATCAAGCCCCATGGCCCAAACTCAGGGCTGGCGGACACCACTCCCCAACCTGCCCTAGTCAGTCCCCACGCAGGTATCACCAACTAGATGCAGCACACTTTCCTTCTGAGCACCTTCCAGATTCTTCCCCACCCAGCACCAAGGATGGGACCTATTTGTCAACTCAGATCCAGGTAATTTTAGCCATGCTAACTCCAAACCTGGATACCTGGGATCAGGAAGGTCAGACGTGCAAATGCATTTTTTTTTTTTTTAGATTTATTTATTCATACAGAACTGGGGTAGAGGCCAGAGATGCGGAGGGTGAGAGGATTCACCAGAGACAGAGTGGGGAGCAGAACAGGCAGATGGACGAAGTACACTGCTGAGGGGAGCAGCAGGCGGGTCAGGAGAGGTCTGCCACACCATGTGGATCTCCTCCAGGCAGGTGGGATGAAACTCATGCTGAAGTGGCTTAAGCTTCTTAGTGCTGTGCTTTAACCCGCTGCGCCACCAGGGAGGGTCCGCAAACGCATTATTTTCACAAGAATGTGGAGGGTGGGCATGATCCCTGGCCCCTGATCCCTGGTAGCTCTCTTCAGCTGACAATTGGTCCCCAAACAGCCTGCATGAATAATAAATCTCATGTCCTCTGGCTTATTTCCTAGCTGCAAACTCCATGCATGGGCACACCATCCTGTTTGCCTGCAGGTGATAACTGGGCTCCAGGAAAAGACCCATTTATGCCGCAACAATCATCCTCCACTTAATTAAAAACTAGTAGGAAATGGGTTCTCCTTTGCACTGAGGGGGCTGAGCCCAGAATGATTGATTCATCCTATTAGGAGGGAGGTTTGATTTGTCAGGGTCCCCTTCCTTCATCTTTAAGACACTAGGAACCCAAAGGCATCTGGGTTCCATTGTTTCCATTGTCTGGACTAATTCAACATCTATGATGGAGGGCAAGGATCTTTTTGCTAATGCCCACAGAGTCCTCATATAATACTTTGCACACAGAACCACCACAGCTGCTGGTTTACTGCCTGATTGGATAGAGTCGAGTGTCATCTGTGCTCTGTAAGTTTAGACAGGAAGTAGAATTATGGAATCAAATAGGCTCTGAACTGGAACTCATACCCAGAGATTCAGTCATTTAGAAGAGCTGAGAATGGTTGGTTGAATTAAATAGGTACTATAAGCTTTGCTGTAAAATGCTGGAACACACCTGAGACTCATCTGAATCTACCTGGCTGCCTAAGATTTGTTCTCAATGCTTAGATTTGTATCCTTACCAGCAGAGAATCTCTGTTTCCACTCTTAGAGCTTATTTACTCCAACTTTACAAATAATTGTAATGAGCTCAGACATGCCTCATTTGCAGATAATAGCACATTAGGAAAAGCATATTTAAGGGGGAGTATATAGCTGAAAGTGGGGACATTGACAGTAACTTAAGTGCCATCTGGGAGCAAAGTCAGAGAAAGAAAAACCACACTGAGCCCTGGAATAACTCCAAAATCATAAGGGTTTGGTGATATTTGACACAAGGGCCATCATCCTATAAACCATCTGACCCCAACTTAAACATGTCATTTTGTACAGCGAGGCACAGCAATGATGCTGAATCTTTCGTTAATGACCAATTAAAGTATGTTCCTCTTTTAAAGGGAAGGGGAAAAGAATGTCATTCATTTCTGAATTTTTAAGATACAAATGGCATCATCTATTTTTAAATATTTTAGAAATTATAGTAAGTTTTGATCATCAGGAAAATTTAAATGGAAGAGCTTTACCCCTGGTAGCATCATTTACCTGCGGCTTTATAGCAACAAGAACTGCTACCAGTACTGAGGTTGAGTTAACCCTGAAGGGGTAGACAGTAGGGACTGCAGGGATTTGGACAGAAAGCAAAAATGACCCAGGCCTTTCGTGTCAACTATTTCCTAAAGATAGGACATATTTCAAAGGCTGAGACCAAACCTTAAAGTGACATACAGGCCCGAGCTTCAGGCTCACCCAGGGGACAGTCTGCCCTCTCATGATGGGTTATCAGACAATCCACTACAGAGGCTATCACTGTGCTTGTGTTTTTGCTTGGTTTTCTGATTTTTTTTTTTTTTTTACTTAAACAGCCCTTGCCAGGTGACTCAGAAGCTGGTTTGGGTGTGACTATCCAAGTTCACAGGGGTGCTATTCCTCTGTGATCCAGGCTGGGCTGTGTCTACTCTACCAAATTCTCTGACTTATTACAAAGGAAGAAACTGGAAACCATGACAAGACAGCTCTTTTTCAGAAATTGAGCAGAAAGCCTTGGATTTCTACAGCTTTGTATTACCTGGTATTTCCTCTATAATGTTTACAGAGTTTTAAAGCATAAAGGAACAAGTTGAATAAAGGATGCAATTCTGACTTTGAGCCTTGACATCTTACTAGCTGTGTGGGACCTGACTAGGTCTCATTTTCCTCCTCTGCAAAATGGGATGCAATATAGGACTAATAATACTTACTGGACAGGATGTTGTGAAGATTAAAGATGACAATATAAATAAATAAGACATCTCACAGTACCAGGCACAGAAAAATGCTCAAACTGGG